CGAATTTCAGTCTCATTCAGGATCTCCCGACTCCAACACAAGAAGGAGGTGCCATCCAAATGACGAGGAATCATCGATATTTCAGTTGGTCGTGGTAGGTAGTATGATTAACAAAGATGTATTGTGGTGTTGCATATGTCAAAGCTTGGATGTCATTGATTGTAATATAATTTTGTCATTTTTCCCTCACAATTATAATTTGTATTCAGTATCATAACTATATGTAATGAAAACTGTCTCTGATTTATATTCGTAATTTGTTTCAATTAACTCTAAAAAAATTTCCAAATATCTTTCAATTAATTTTCAACATGTTTGTTTAAATCATGTAACATTACAATCTAACCTATCAACTTGTTTTTACCAAATATGACTCATTCATCAACTACTTTAGTAGGCAACAGTTTGTTTTTGGGCTAGTTTATCAGTAACGCACCCATTCCAAAGGAAAGGGGAGTTACTTCAAACATAATGTAACAGGTATATAAAACCTCCAAAATAAAGTCTCCAATAGAATTAATACTCCAACAAAAATGATTTCAGATGTCTCCCAATAATTCAACTAAAACCAAACATAGTCTTGAAAAAAAAAACGCTAGTCTAATTACAAATGAAAGAAATCAAATCATCAATAAACCTCTTATAACCTCTTGCAATCGAACCTTGTATACTTCCTTCCTGGAATCTTAGCAACCCCCTTTAATTATCTACCTTGAGGAAGAAAAGGAAACACGGTTCAGCCAAATGCACGGTGCACGGATAAACAATTATACTACAAAAAGGTATTGGTAGCTTGCAAAACTTGGGTTCAAGATGTAAGGCAATACGGGTACGAAATCTTAAAGAAACCGTTAAATATCGTAATCAGACAAGTAAAATATGAAGGGATAAATCGAGCTCGAAAAACACATACACTTGTATATCAACTTATAGAACAAGTGCCAAACTTATGGCCACACAGGCCTATACATTGGACTGTAGATCCACATGTAATTACGAGTGAATGGAAATAGGTGGTAAGGGACAATTTAAATAAACATGAGTTAAACGAAAGCTTACGGGTTTATAAACATATTTAAACGAATTATATGAACAAAAAAGTTTAGAAATCTGTACCTTAAACGAGATGACTTGAAATCGTTGCTCCTTTTTTCTTGGGTCTTTCAATTGGATTTCCTTGAGGACTGCTCTGAATTGAAAAAAATGGATGGACATTCATATTAAATTACATGATTATTAGTTGGATGAAAGGTAATCATCAAAGCTTCTTTATATGAACTTGTAATTTAACATCTTGTTTTTTAGGTCAAA